TTTACAAAAATACTGTTCAACAGTTTTCAGTCACTGGGAGTTGACACCACCCTACAGAAAGACTTAAATGAGGAAAAAAAAAAACAACAATCACAAGACAGAAAGGAAAATAATGAAGAGCTCAGACAAAATTGGACAGAACTCCAAAAAAGGTGGTTGAGAGAAAGGAGAAAAACATTTATTCATTACAGCAGAAGACAGAATTTTGAAAGGTTAACTGCAGTGAGCTGGTGGAAGAGATAAAATTACAGGAGAAAGAAAGGGAGGAGAGAATCCATGAAAAGTTGAAATCCTGGAGGACCAGTTTGAAATGGATTCAGCTATAAAAAAGTAAGCCAGTGGAGGAAGGGAAAACAAATAGAAGACTAAAACAAAGGATGGGGAAATATTTAGTCATCCAAATGTTTGGCTTTTTCTCCTACTTTAATTGTGATTTGCCGAAAGAGTGGAAAATTAATTTAGCATAGAATTGCTCCAAATACCTTGGCATACCAAACTAAACCAATACCCAAACCCAACAACAACCAACCCACAAACCAAAATACTCTCCAAAATTACACCATCAAAACAACTTCAAAAGCCTGCTGCAAAGAGCACAGCAGTAGTTCTTTTTATTAAAGAAAACTGAATGAGAGTAAACTCGGTCAGAAGTTGCAAAAGCTATTTCATTAGGCAAAAAGTGGTTAACTGTATTCTGATCAACTTCTACTATCTCCAAGGACTGTGGGAAGAGATATTACTAGTGATGTAAAGTGGTAGAGCTGTAATCGCTATCAGTGTTGCTTTCTTCCACGCAGTGGGTGTTGGACACTTGGGTAAACAAAAGATTCATGGTCAACTCTTGAACAACAAACATGAGATGGCTGCACCGAGCCTTTAAAAGCACCTGATTAAGCATGCAGAGTTCTTCTAATAAAATTCAATAAGCTACTTCTCAGTAGTGCTGTAGAACCCTCGAATAACTTATAAAATAGCTTTATATCCCAGAGATACTATGAAGCATATTCCAGAATTTGACAGGTTTTGTGCATAAGCCCACGCAAACTTCTTGGTTGAGTTGATCTTAGTAATTTAAATCCCTTCAGATTTCAAGATCCTAGAACAATCTGAACCATTTTTCAGAAACTGATATAAAGGGCAAGAACTTCTCACTCATTTCTTCCTGTTCGCTAAATTCTTTGCATACATGGGTCAGCCTTACAAAATACGTCCCTGTTGGCCCAGCTGCATGACAATCCAAACTAGCTTGAGAAAACAAACTATTTTCAGACATTAAAATAAAAAAAGGCTAAAATGTCCTATGCCTTTCCAAGTATATAACTTATTTTACAAAAATTAACTTTCTCATCCTGGATGATGGGTTTGATTAACTGCGTACTTCTTACCAGCCCTTCACTTGGCTTGATGTTTGTAAGCTGGATCACTTCAAGGTGAGCAGACTGGGAAACCAGTGGATCAGAAGAGAGTGAGATAATGTGATCACAGACGCCAGAGAGAGTTTTACACTACGAAGAAAAAAGAAAATAAAATGTCACAATAAGCATACCATTGCTAACTATTTGCATATCAATTTACAATTTAAAGCACTGCATTTTTAAAGTACATGTTAAATCAGATTGATGAATCTACAAGGCAGAGGGAATGAAGGACGAGGCAGAAAGGTCTCAGTCAGCAGCACAGTACAAAATTTGTTTTTTGTGATGACCCCACATGGACACAGCATCAGATCAGGGAAGAACAAGAGGCAAATGCTTTTGCATCTGAGTAGAGAGAAAAAGGAACTGCGTGAGCTGCTCCCATGTGCTCCCAGGGTTAGGTGCCCTGCCTCTGAGCTGTGCTCAGGCACACAGGCAGCATGTGGTGACCTCCAACCCCCACATCTTCTGCAAAGACATTAAGTGCCCCCAACACCCCACTAATTTCCGTTGAACATGCAGATGTTCAGCACAGATGAAAATCAGGCTCTTAGCAATGATGACTAACTCCATTAACCCTGAAGTTTATTCTATACTAATAAAACATGCTAATTGACTTTGGACCAAGTTTCTCATGTTCGACTGCTGCCAAGCATGATTTACTACAGCAGGCATGAAGATTACAATAAATAACCACTTCATGATGGGATAATTCTTAAACCTGTTATCCTTGGCAGCCTCTACACAGCAAGACAGAAATTTTTAAAAAGTTTCTAAAAAAAGGCTGGGACTGTCAAATGGGCAGTCATCTCTTACTCTGAACACCCTTTTCTCAGAAGCAGGGAAGCTGTGAGTTTTTCCTATAATTCTCTCATATTTCTGTAAGCAAGTGATTTTTGAGAGTTTCAAACATTTTCCATGAAGTCCCCTTTCCGCAACTAAAACTGATTTCTCGGTTCAGGTTTCCAAATGTATGTTTTGTCAGCAAATTCAGGGATTAGGACATTCTTCTGGTCCCAAAACTGTGGGTACCTCCAAAACCAATTAAGAACCAGCTTAACTACTCACAAATTCAAAAGATGAAAGCTAACCAGTCTCCCCAAATGACTGAAACAACTGTAATGACTGCAGCACCAACCACTCTTTCAAGATTGCCAAGCATACTTCTTAAAGTAAAAAATACCTACAACAATGCTATGGAAAAATATAAAACTGTATATAACCTCATTGTCAAATCACCATTATAATTCCAAATGTCAAACTTCAAATATCTTATGTCAAAAGAAAAGTAAAAAAAACCTTAAGTGATAAAAGTAAAAAAAAAAATATCCAGCGACAGTGAAATCTTAATCCTGTTACAGACCATTACACCAGGATCTTCTCCTCTTTAAATTATTTACAGTTGGACATCTAGGTTTTTATATAGGTAGCTTATTTTATTGAACAATAATGTTTCAGAATGAATAAACAAATCCAAATCAAATGAAAAATATACAAAAATTTGTATTACCACCATTATGTTCTCCCAGAGGTACTACCTTCAGGCACAGACACACATATCCACACACACACCCCCCCTCCCCACTACCCCTTCTGATTTATCTGTATTTCATGGTGCAGAATCATTACTACAAAAAGGAAGTAAAGAAATGTATAAAATGTGGTTAAGGATGCTTTGTGCTTTACCTGAATCAGGAAGAAGTGAAAAAGTGAAATAGTGAACTTTACTGCAAAATTGTGGTTTTTATGGCTTTTTGGATACATGAAAATTGCTTTGAGCTGACATTTATAAAAGGTAAAAATGATATAAAAATCCATAATAAAAAATGAAAGCTCATGTTTGTTTGGGCTTTTTAGTATAATGCTGGCATGTTATTTGTATTTCTATCTCTCTTGTAACTGCACTGAAAATTAGCGAAAAATTACTTTTGGAAAATTACAGAACACAGCTCTCCACATGCAAAGTGAAGAAACTTACATTACAAATCATTCTCTGGTGATGAAAACTGAATTTTTCATATATCTTTAGACTTGTATTCACCCACCTATTCTTCCTATTAATCTCTTCTCAAACTACTAAATTTATGGGGTCCTTAACAGTTTCAGAGAAACTTCTATTTACAATGAATTATTTTTTTTTCCCTATTCCCAACTGTTGCATTGCAGAGAGATTCCAAAACTCACAGGGTCCCTACCGCTTAACACAAGGCACATCATTTCAAGTTCACAGACATGACTCATTTAAAAAAAGTCCTCGGCTGCCTTGACAGATGACAGGGAAAGGAGAGGAGCAAGGCAAGTCCAGGATGTGGACATGGAACAGAAGCTTAAACTGAGATGCATTAAATAGCTCCCCGGAGCGGCTGCTCTCCCTCTGCCTCTCCGTCAGGGGAGTACAGACAGTCTATATTGTAAGCCTATGGAGATCAGCATTCCAATAAGGTTATATTGGTTGCAATCCTAAAAGAAGGTGGTGCAAATATTCCCCAAGAGGAGCTCTGGGAATACCGGATGCCAAAATCTCCAAGTTACCATGATTAAAAAAAATCTGCCATACTCATGTATGCATTTCTAAAAGGTTATTGTCATCTGGGATTTGCAGCTTTCTTTCCATCTTAGATATTCATACTGTTGTCCAACAGCACAACATCATGCCCATGCTAAGCACAATAAATGAGCCAGAGCAAAGTCTCTAGAGAAGACTCTATGATTAGAGGATGCTCTTTCAGATTAAGGCTTCAAATTCTATGACCTTTCCAAAATGTAAAGACTCATTCAACATGTGGGGATGCATACATAACTGTCTTCCTAGAAAAAATAATACTTAGGGGCAAAACTATTATAAATGCATTATTATAAAATCTTTGCCACTTCATGAGTACCTAGATCTCACCAGGGAGAAGACAAAAGTTGAAGACAGAGAACTTTTCTGTCTTCAGGGGTCGGTATTTGGTCCGGTCTTGTTTAACTTCTTCATCAATGACCTG